CGTGGTCCCCCAATTATCACAAGGAAATAACCGACTCGTTGAAGATTGGCGAACTTGATTCGTGACACCGCCGTTCCCGAACTGGGTATCTATGTAAGAAAACATAATAAGAATTTTAATACAAGACCAACGCCATTCTACACCAAGGAAAGTAAACAACCAAACAAACAAACAAAGATGATCAACAGGAAATCCCCTAGCCGCGGATTGTTATTTCATACAAGTGTCAAAAGAAGAGGAAAGGCCACCGCAGTCCGAAACAGCCGGACTCCAGGCGGCGCTCGGGTCCTCTTCTTGATATGACTGAGATGCTATCGACAGAGCATCCCAATCCCAAGGTGAACTTGAGTCTTCACCAGAACCTGAGTCGCCCACGGATTTTGGTACCGAAAGTGAAGTATCGAACGATGTATCTATCCTGATAGAAGGTATCGACGGTACCGTAAGGGCCCGATTACGGCCAGTGGTGTATTGTTGTGGTACTGGAGGTGTAAGCACATACGGTCCGAGGATATCCTGAGGTTGCTGCATATAAGGAGGGCTGATGCCAGTCCATGGTAGATATTGGCTTGGAGGTGCAGATCGAGACAACTGTTCTATCTTTGGGTTAGCTACATTCTGACATGAGCTAATCAGTACGACATTCTACCTACCAGTTTCATCAACTAGATGCAGAGCCTTGAGTGCATCGATGCCAAGCTCAACACTGACCCGTTGGTCTGGAAGCTTGCCAAGCCGAATTGACAGTTGCTTTTGAACACTGCCAATTGTTTCCACGTCAATTACATCCAGTTCGCACCAGTGTCGGGCGTCTTTCCAGCGAGGCTTGGGCACTGGATGTATCTTGACGCCCCAGTTGCGAGCAAAGTCGTTATCGACGACACTCGAATCTCGAGTGAGATAGCACTTGGCAATACACGGTACTTCGGTGGTCTGGGTTTTGAGAGTAACTCGGATCATCTGTTCATGTTTGACTCGTGCTGACTGAGTTCTTAGGGGCTGTGCTGGCATCTGCCAGTTGGGGCCTGATAGCGGAGAAATAGGAGACTGGCCTTGGCTTGGAGGCTCCTCGTCTGTGAAAACGGCGGACTCGTCCACGGATAATCGAGGGAATGGCGAAGAGTCCTGGGAGCCAAGAGGTGGAAATGTTATGCAAGTTTCGGGTTGATTCGTCTGGGCTTGAAAGCCCAGAGGATCAAAGTACCTGTCACTTCTGGCCCGCCGTCGGAATGACTCAATAGTGTGAGAAGTAGTCGACGAACTACTTCGACGCCTTGATCGATCCTTGGAGATGGGACTGAGTGTAGAGGGCGACCGCGAGCGAGGGGAAGCTTGTCTGATGGCTTCTTCCACGCTGAGTTTCAGGCGACCAGGCCTACCAGCCAGAGCTGGGTTTCTTTGTCTGCTCGGCGGAGTCATTGGTAAATGTTAGAGTGTAGACGAAATGGATGTAAGGCAGATAATAGTGCCTGGAAAAGAGTAAATATCGTTTAAAAAAACAGGGACCTCGATTCTTAAACAGGAACTAGACACAATGAAGAATGGAGCAGCGGGGGTATGAAATTCAAGCTGATATATGCAACAAGTATATGAGGTTCGATGTCTGAGTGAAATCACCTCTGCTAGGTTTTCCTCGACATCGTGGACAGGCAGCGCAGCAAAAGTGCAGATGTCTGTGGCCAGCCATTGGATTAGACCCTGTAGCAGCACGCTTCTTTATTCCGAGGCATACTGGTCCAATTGTCTGCCTCGATCCTCTTTTCCATCAAACACCCAAAGAATAAGCGTTTTGAGTGGTCTCTGGTGCTTGTCGCTGTGCACAGCCTCGCTTTACCGACATATCGAAGGCGGGCTGTGCTGCTAACGGTGAAATAAAGAGCCGCCTCTGTGCGTTGTGCGACCGAGACTGGCCATGCATGGTTGAAAGCGAGGAACTGCATCTTATCACCTCTGATGAGGCGCGGATGCGAGTTTCAATCACAGTTACATTCCACTTCTGTAACTGTCATCGCCTTGTCACAATCGTGGGCCTTTTCAACCTCAATATGAAAGGCAACCGGATATGGTGTTGTCAGTGCTGCGCCTCAAAGGAGCATAAGTCACCGGGCGTCGGGCTCTGACAGAAACAATATTCAAAATGACCAGTTTCATAGTAAATGATTACGAAGTGGCATGCCTCATGGAATAACACATTCGCCTTGTCATCGTAATGTATTACGACTCTGAAAGCTGAATGCCGCCCATTTCCGAGTTACCTCAATGCGGCCAGGACATAAAAATGATCATCTATGCACTCAACAGGTATCAATGAAGACTCAGATTCAATATTCACCGGAAGTTACTACAGTCAGTATATTGTTGCCATGAGTATACCCGCTATTTCTGACTTACGCCATAGTCCTCCTGAAAGCTGGTTTCACATAATTACTGTTAATCGCATTACAAGTCTTCCAGGTATAAACTTGACTCAAGTCAGGAACACAATTAGATTGGTCGATTTGATGGCCCCCAAAATTGCTATCAAAGCCTTGTTCATGCGCTGTCCGGTAGATAGGACGGATGTCCAAGAAAACAATGGACATAGTTGCTACAATGCATTGGTCAAGGTATGAATGCTTCTTCAAATATCCGTCACACGACTTTGAACTAATGTCTTTTAAGGTGCTCATGCCTGGCCAGCTCTATACCGGAAAAGGAAATAATTATAGTACAGTCCGTTATGCGGAAGCATCCGCGAGAGGGAAATCTCATAAGAGACAGCTGATGGATCCCCAGCGGAAGTCCGTCTATCAAGGTCAAGTGCCTCGAGTCTCCGCAGCATCATTTATTATATCCTGTGCTGAAGAGGGATTGAAAAATTCGACATATACATCCCCAGGACACAATGGAACCCAAGAAAAAGGATCTTTAGTCAAGGATGAGATGACCGACACTCGCACAGAAAGGAATACAAACGTTCAAAGAAGACTTGATGGAAAGACTGAAACTTCGCTAGCAGATGGTTTGGAGGAAAGAATACGTTCTCTGGATGTTACCTTTGAGGACCAACCCGTGGAAGCCGATATCGAAGAAGCATATATACAGGGAGAAGCCTTGACACCACCCGAAATCAAGTTCTCCGAAGACGGTGACATGGACGACGATTACTGGACCTGGGACCAGAGATCTCAAAGATTCCGACACTGGGATGCGGAACGTGGAGAATGGTTATACTTTCCTGAGAGATTTGATTGAAACGATTTGATAAATCTTAAGCGGGTTGGGATGTGCAACAGCCAACTTTCAGCTGAAGGAGAACTCCAAGACCAGTCACTGTAGAATCCGTTCGTTGTTTAATGTTTTCATGTTTCAATTTCAGCTAAGTACCACACTTCACACTCTGCGCCATATGCTCCTCATTCATACCAATGCCGCTCGTAATCTCATCATTCGTCTCTCCAGATACCTGATAATTCGAATCAAGCCTTGCTTTCGGGCTTATCCTTGACAGTCTTATTGTCGGGTGAAAAGCTTAGGCTGACGCTGTTCACGCAGTGACGCTCATCAGTGGGCGTGTCAAAGCCCTCGCCCTTGAACACATGTCCTAGGTGACCGCCGCAGTTGGCACATACAATCTCCGTTCGTGCCATACCGAAAGCGCGATCTTCGTGACGGACAACGGCACCAGGGATGCTGTCAAAGTAGGCTGGCCAGCCGCAACCGGAGCTGAACTTGTGGCTCGCCTTATAAAGCGGAGCGTCACAACCAGCGCAGGTATAGACACCCTGCTCAGGATAGTGCTTGTCAAACTTTCCAGAGCCAGGAGGTTCGGTACCCTTCTCACGCAGGATACGGAATTGCTCTGCGAATGTTAGTTACTGTGCAGAAGAGATGCTAGCAGTGCAAGAACATACCCTTGTTGAGGACAGCCCGCCACTCGTCGTTTGAACGTTGATCAGGGTACGACATATTGGAAGAGTTCTTGGATGAAGTGCCAAATAAAGCGCCCAGCAGAGGAATACCAGACATAGATCGCAGGGGAATAGGTCGAAAGGCCAGGTGTGAAGGCAGAGGAGGTCTCACGCGGGTGATGTTTGAGAAAGTGTAGAAGAGTGTTGACAGTAATGGAGAGAAGCGCATTGAGAAGGGAGTTATATATGGTTATTTATATTTGATTGAAGATGAGTTATCATACATGACCTTGAAGAGAGACGTTATAAGTCCCGGACCTTAGTGGCAACCAGTTGACAAATCATGGGTTGCGAACTGTGGAATCATTTGCATCATCGAATTATTGCTGCTAAGCCTACCACAGCCACATCTTGATTATTCCGCTTTACGCTCTTTGTGGCCCAACGGCTCGAGTATTGCGCCTGAATACGCTGGTACAATTCCAAATCCGGTAATTTGATGATTCAACTTTAAGAGAAGATTACTCTAAAAAGCTTAAAAAAGTCTTATTTTCTTCGACTACGATAAGACTTCGGTTTCAGCCCCCATGTTTCGCATCTTACCAAAATGGTTGAAGTCCCCAAGGTTGGTAACTGCATTTCAAAATGTGAGACAGATAAATTCACCTGCGAAGATAAGCCGTGGGTCTGAGTTTCTTTGAGACAATGGGCAGGCTAAGATAATTAATTAAAATGCAAATTTGGTCGACTCGACTCTACTAGTATTCACAAAAGATATGGATAGTTGAAAGGAAGCCTCCCTCAAGCTTCGATCATCCAGTGGCTGGTGCAGTCTTGTAACCCCCCGCCAATTCCAGGGGTCAGGTACCTACCGCGCAGTGTCCAGACCCGCCCCGCCCATGCATTAATTCCGCTGGGCAGCTAAAGGGAACATCACCGACCACCTTGGCACCTCCCTATCAACATTCATCCAATTCTAGGCACACCCTTTTCGAACAGGTTGCCACTTTGCAACAACGCTCGTTCAGAGTGACGCTTCGAATCCCTTTACCTCGACTCCCACCACAACTCATAACGAACTTGCTCTGATTTTCATCAATCAGCATCACCATGTCTAGGAGAGCCCCGAACCCCGCTGCTGAGCGGGCGGCGCAAAACCAAGCTACCATCAAGAGTCTCCTCAAGTTGGAGGCCAATAAGGTCTGCTCTGATTGTAAACGAAACAAGCGTATGTATTAGACTACGAGCTTGCTAGCACATCCATCTGACCATTTTAGATCCTCGATGGGCCAGCTGGAACCTTGGTGTCTTCATCTGTATCCGATGTTCGGGCATCCATCGTGGCATGGGCACCCACATCAGCCGAGTCAAGTCCGTCGACCTCGATTCTTGGACCGACGAACAACTCCAAAGCGTTTTGAGCTGGGGAAATGCTCGCGCCAATAAATACTGGGAGGCCAAGCTTGCGCCAGGTCATGCCCCCTCTGAAGCCAAGATCGAGAACTTTATCCGAACAAAGTACGAACTCAAGCGATGGGTTATGGACGGCCCCATGCCCGATCCTGCTACTCTAGATGCTGATGGCGACGACGATGTACCCCTTAGCATTGTAAAGGAGAAGCAAGTCATAGAGCGCAAGGAGTCCATCAGAAAGGCATCCCTAGGCAACTCACAAGCACCGAAATCTATCCCTGCACCTCAGGGAGATCTTATCGGCGGAGACCCTGTCCCTGTGCGATCAAGCAGCGCTGCTCCTCATGCGGCGAAGGTGGCTCCTAAGGCAGAGCCTGCTCCTCCGAGGGCAACAAGTACAAAGGACTCACTACTTGGACTCGACTTCTTTGGCGAGCCCGCGGCTCCTCCTCGACCGGCCAGCACAACTGGTACCGCTCCGAGCGGCCAGTCTCGTCCCGATTTGAAACAATCTATCCTATCTTTATATGCTACTGCGCCTAAACCTCAACCTCCCGCTCAACCTCAGCAACAGTCATCAGCGGGAGGCTTTGGTGGCCTTGCCTCTCCCACTTTCAGCCACCAGTCTCAAGGCTCTGTTGGTGGCTTCAACGACGCCTTTGGTGGTCTCAGCATCTCGAATCCCCCTAAGCCCGCCGCTCCCGACCCTTTTGCCAGCCTCAGCTCTGCCAGTCGTACAACATCAAGCAGCAATGCCTTTGGTGGCCTAGGAGGAGGTAGCTTCTTCAACAACAAACCCTCCCAACCCGCTGCCCCTACCTACCAGCAGCAGTCTTCCAACTTCTCGAACTTCGGTGGCTTTTCCTCCCCACCGCCGGCTGCTTCTGCTGCTCCTGTCCCGCCCAAGCCCGCTCAATCCTCCGCTATGGGTGACCTCTTTGATCTTTCCGCACCTGTGACCACATCGCCTCCTCCACCACAACCCGCAGTTGCTTCTACCAACTCCGTCTTCAACCTCTCTTCTCCCCAAAGCCCTCCTGCCGCCGCGCCAACCAGTACGACGACAACTGCTAACGCAGCCGGTTCTATGGGTGGTTTCTCTGGTGCTGATGTTTGGGGCGGAAGTGATTGGGGAGCCCCTGCAGCCCCTGCAGCCCCTGCAGCCCCTGCACCAGCTCCCATCCAGAAAGCCCCTGAACCACCAAAGCCCGCGGCGAGCGATTTTGGTTGGGGCAACACGGGAGGAGCCTTTGCCAACACACCCATCGTCCCTGGGGCATCAGGAGGCTTCAATCCTATTGCATCGCCCAAGGTTTCGGCGGATGAGGAGTTCGGAGGATGGACAAGCAGTGGACCTGCTGCTGGTGGCAGTGGCGGCCAAACCAAGCCAAGCGGTGGCTTTGGCGGAGATGAAGACTTGTTCTCGAACGTGTGGCAGTAGGCAGTGAGTTTTGGAAACATCTAGATGACTTTTGGGGCGGAGGTTTCTATAAAACAGTTGCAGGCATGATTGGCGTTTGCATGTTAGGAGTCAAGTAGATGCGAAACAGGATGACTTAAAAAATTGTACGACCATTATGACATTGGTTCGTGTGAGAAGCAATGTGAGTGTATTCAAATAACGCCGGCCCAACGCTGCGAAAACAGTAAAAATCCTGAGGCACGACTCCTTAGCCTTTTAGCCGTGGACATTTGGATGCCTTTGATCACCTGTGTGTACCACCTGGTGAATGTTCGTCTTCCCTTCACGACGGATGCCATGTCCAGCTTATATCTGTATCAAGGGTCTTAGAACAACAGTTTAGCCCCGTAGAATAACACCAAGAAAACGCCAATAACGATTCCTGAAAGTTTGAGAATAGCGATACGGTTGCCTGATGCAGCCATGCGAGTTAAGCGGCCAGCAGAGCCCTTCATCTGTGTGGTCATGGAGGAGAAAGTATCGGACTGGTTGAGGTTAGTAGGCTATAAACTGTCGCTTTCGAAGGGGGTAGACAGACGGTGTTGTCGATGACATCCTGAGCCCGGGCATTATCGTAAATGTCGACTGTCACACCGCGAAGGGCGGAGACCTTTGCAGAGAGCTCATCCAGGCGCGCATTGTTCTGGCGCTCTCGTTCGTAGGCTTCGGACATGATGAGGTTTGGCGGAAGTTAGGGATGGCGAAACAGGGGTTGTCGGCACGGTCTGGCTTTCGATGGGAACAGATTATTTGGTGCGTGTTTGTCGTCGCTTTGTAGAAGACAAGATGTCCTCGTCGTTGCGAAATGTATCCTCGAAATGTCAAGTGCCAAGTTATGAAAGGGGTTCGAGTTCTAACACGAAACCGATAGCCATGACGACCTCCTCGATCGGCCCCAAAGTCCGCCACGGCCACCTCACGCGGGCGCGCTGGACATTCAGCGGTACGTACTCCAATGCCGACACCGCCACACTTCAGCTAACAGCCACACCTCCATCCACCCAGAAACTGGAGATTTCTCCATGTACCAAAGGAAAGCTGTAAATGTACTATACCCTGGCGCCTAAGGCGGGGCAACATGTAACAGACAAGGCCAGATGAAAGAAAATGGTTGGGCAGTCGTAAAAGGCTCCAAGTTCAGTGGATTCGTTGTTAATCACGCTGTCACGTTGACTTGGATTGCTGCGCCACAGGACATGGAAGCTCCCCATTACGAGGTGCCGTGAATCTGCATTGCCCAACGTCTGCACCTAATAGTGTAGACTTGAGACCACTACTTTCCCTTCTTTGTAGCTTTGTCGATCTTACAAGTCCTTGTATAATATCGCCGCAGAATATTCTACACTCGTTTGCTTACGTCCACTCCTTGGCATATACCATCGAGGCGCAGCAGTAACTCGTCTGGTGACGACGCAACCCGGACAAGCTGGGTTACTATACCTATCATATCAACCCCACCCATCGCCCTTGTACTGAGAGCTTCCTGGCTCCTCCAACAACAGTTTTCGACTTGCGCGAAGACAACTTTCGATCCCTGTTCCTGTTTGTGCATTGCATCTCTTGAGCGATTTGGTTGAGTGTATCGAGATGGGCCTCAACAATCCCCTCCCGTCGTCTATGGCGTGTAAGTTGAACCACCAAATTCCGCACTCATGATCGCGCATCATGGGCTACTCCGCCCCTCAATGAAGCGATCAACTCAAGTGCGAGACATGGCTAACACAACTCCCCAATAGCGGAATGTAAGAAGTGCGGCAAGATCCTGACTTCTTTCATCAACCCTCGCCAGTCTTTCGGTCCCGACAAGGTCATTCCTCCGTCCATCCTCGCCAATGCTAAAGGCCTTGCCATCATCACTGTTCTCAAGGCCGGCTTCCTCGGCTCAGGCCGTTTTGGCAGCGGTCTCGTCGTCGCCCGACTTCCCGAGGGTGGTTGGAGCGCTCCGAGCGCTATTGCGACCGCCGGAGCCGGCTTCGGTGGTCAAGTTGGTTTCGAATTGACCGATTTTGTCTTTATTCTAAACGATTCGAGCGCCGTCCGGTCCTTTGCCCAAGCTGGCTCTTTGACACTAGGTGGCAATGTCTCCTTGGCAGCTGGACCCGTTGGTCGCAATGCCGAAGCAGCCGGCGCTGCATCGCTGAAAGGTGTCGCCGGTATCTTCAGTTACTCCAAGACCAAGGGTCTCTTTGCTGGTGTTTCCCTTGAGGGATCTGCCATTATTGAGCGCCGTGATGCTAATGAGAAGATGTACGGCCAGCGCTTCACAGCGCAGCAGCTCCTTACCGGTTCTGTGAGGCCACCTCCTCAAGCTGCCCCTCTCATGAATATTCTTAACTCGCGCGTTTTCAATGGTATGAGAGGCGGTGGTGACGACGCCATGTACAACGACATTCCTGTATACGACGATCAGCACGACGACGTTGTGTGGAACGGTCGCCGAGGATCCGCGATGGGCGAGGGCGTGCAGCGCGATCGTACAGGCTCAGGCTCATACGATGATAGCTTCGGACGACCCAGCCGTTCGAATACATGGCAGGACGATATATACGACAGACCAGGCGGTTTTGGCGGGCCCACACGTTCTAGCACATTTGCTTCTGGTGGTGGAGCGAACAACGACTACGTTTATAGTGACAATCCCACAGGAGGTTCGGGAGGGTTCGGCGCCGAGAAGAAGGCTGGCCCCGGACGGCCAGCGGCTCCCAAGCCCAACTTTGGCGCCAAGCAAGCAATGCTTAAGAAGAACGAGGCTGTTGCTGTGTACAACTTTGACGCGGACCAACCAGGTGATCTGGGTTTCAAGAAGGGCGATGTCATCACCGTTTTAAAGCGAACCGAGAGTGATAACGACTGGTGGTATGTATTCAACGCGAATCGCTTAAACACCGCCGCAATAACTAACAGCGCCTAGGACCGGACAAATTGGCACAAGAACGGGCATCTTCCCCAGTAACTATGTCAAGATGAAGGAGTAGCGGTTGTTATCTTTTGTATCGATTTAAATACCCTTTAGGCACGTTTCGGAAGGATACCTTATGAATACGACGGCTTTTTTTGTCTTACGTCTATCTTGGAAAATGGCGGCTGTAAAAGACTGTACAGTTTTACACATCATATGTCCTCCACAAGCTTTTGAATCATAAAAAACCACACATTTGTAGGAGATGGAATTTTTGTCACACCCGAGACTTTACTAAACGGTGTATTGGCTCATGGACCCTAGCCATCACATGCGAGGCGTGTTGGCTAGTAGATATCTAAGCTCATGGTGTCTCCATCAGATCTATCAAACCGACACATCGAACATTCCCAACTCGAGCTTTAGGAACCTAACATAGATACGGCTTTGGAATAGCTGTTCTCATAGTTGAAAAGCAATAAGGCTCAGTAGGCGCACATGACGGCTCGACACCATAACAGAAACCGTATGAAGATGCCACATCCGAAAGTACTGCAGTAAAAGTATTCACGGTTCCACATAGATGTAGAGATAGTGAAATTATGCACGTTATAGCTGACCGTTCACACACAATCTAGTTAACTCTATCATGGCTAGTTGGGGATGAGTGGTACCCCTTAAAATACATTGAGAAGTTTGTACATGCCAGGCTCAATATCAACGACAAACGGCATTCCAAATCTGGGATCACAATGAATACGTTTTCTTGACCAGTGGCTTTCTCACTTCAGGCAGATTCCTAGTCCTTATTACGTCCAAGCAATGATTTCATCGCCGAGGGGCATCAAAACTTGAGCCTTTGCCGGGCCTTTGCAACAGAGCTCACACAAGGCCCTAGAAAGAAATACTTGAATTTATCTAGTGCCATGTATTAATCAACCGTTCTGTAAATGCTGGAAGAGGCTCACTTTGTGATCTCAGTCCGTAGACCAGTAACAGGTAGATCCTCAGATTTTGCTTGTGAACTATGATTGCCTTTGAACTTGAGAGTGCATTAACAAAAGCTTCAATGAAAAACGTAATCAATCAAGGGTATTTGCAAATAATACAGCCTTGAAACGCACCAACTGTGGCAGGACTACCCTGATTTTGAACTAGGTGCTTTACCAGGGATGCTTGCGAATGAAGTGCCAGGCTAACTCTTGGGGTGTACTTATGACCTGGATGATGTAGAAAGCCCTCGCAAGTTCCCCATTAGCGTTCTCGATCTCTTGAATTCGCTGGTTGATAACGTCCCGTATATCTTTGTGAAACCTGGTCCAGAGCTTGAGTCTGTTTTGACCTCCATGCTTGCACATATTGCGAGAAAGACGACTAACAATCATAATGTCGCTGCCCCTCTTCTCGGACCAGTCCAATGTGTGTTGGCCATCGGGACACTGGCTGGTGTTTCGACAGAGACGGAAATCCTTGTTGGTCGTCTCCTGGGTATTGCTGAGACGGATATCTTTAAAGAGGTTCCTCAGGCCTTGCTTTCGACAGAACCAGCCAGAACGACTAGTAAGCCGCTTGCTAGTGCCTATAATTGTATAATTAGAATACATATATGCACTATGGTAACAAATGTGAAGTTATAACTTACGTTTCGTGGACTCGCGTATTCGTTTCGCCCGGATGTCAAGCAGTTTCTCGATATCAATGCTGGGGAACTTGTCCAGCACCCGTTACATCTCGGGACTTTGGATTATCTCTCTGTCGCTGGGACTGGGACCAGGCTTCGGAAAGGTTGTAAGGATATTTGGGTCTTCAATGCTTGGTAGGACTGTGTCTGATATCGACATCGTGGCAGTTAGGATGAATGCAATACAGAAAGAAATGCAGCTCAATTCTAACCAATGGGAATACGTGGAGTTTTCGCAAGAATACTGAGCCCCATGAACAAATTTGGCATTAAATGGCGTCCTGATGCCGTGATAAGTTCGATGGACAGGACATAAAGGGTTCGGTCGGTTGTTGAATGGGGGAGGTAGTTGTGGTTGATACAATTTATTATTAGGAACGGTGACTCAGCCTCAACAGTAAATCAGCAGTCTGCCTACCTGCAAGAACTTAAACTCCCGTAATATAGTCAAATGTCCGAGTTTCCTTCCTTTAACCTCCAACTATCCGCTCATATGGCAGGTAACTCGCCAATCAGTCGTCACTGCCCGCTGACCATGACTTGAAACTTTGCATACCAGAAGTCTCTGCGTCTTTCCCATAGCTGCTTTGAATAGAACTGTGCAAGCAAAGCTGCATCGCCGCCCCTGGCAACATCCTCTTCGAACTGTTCAACCAACGGGGTTGTTGCTTGATTCAAATCCTTCAACGTGTTGTAGTCACTAAGTATAACCCATGGTAGGAGCTCCACACCCGAGGTTTCTTGTCTTGATTCTGGGGACCTCTGGGAGCCAGTTGAAACTTTTGAGCTTTTTGGGATGGTTGTCTGACATTCTGCATCCTTGTACTTATCATCTTTGGCTTTCACACTCGCAAATGTACCCACCGATTCAGAGCTAGGAGAATGATCTTCAAAACTGCTAGTTGCATTAGAATAACCATCAGTGTTTTCTGACGCAAGAACTCTGCCATTCTTCTGGTTTAGCCCCTTATTTGTGGTGTTGTACGCGGGTTCGGTGCTTTGGCCTTTCCCTGAATTGGTTGGATCTCTCCTTAAAGATCGGCTTGGGGAACTCCTGGGTTTTCTAGAGTCGGAGGATTTCTCAAGCCCCGATCGTATACCTGTATGCGCCTCAGGCTTCTTATATGGTACGGCGGTCTTTGCGCGTGAATCAAATGGTAACTGTCTGGGTCGAGGCATCTGTTTGCGAAAGTCCTGGTCTTGCAACGGCTGTTGACGGTACGGTTCGGGCGAAAGGTCTTTTGTCAAGTCTACACGTGTATTACAGCTCTTGGTATCAACATCCGAGCGACTTTCAAAAGAGCCGACTTCAGGACTTCCACGAACTGAGAGACTCTGTGCATGGGAGCCTGTGGTGGACACACTTAGAGGCATCGCCATGTCGGCCCTACCGATTGGTGACTGTGTCGGAGGCGGGCTCGAGTTGAAGGAGTACCTCAAAGGCGACCCAACGCGAGGTATATGTGAGTGTGTGCCGTCTTTTTCAAGGAACATGTGGTATGGGTTGAGTTGTGCCGTCCCTGGACTAGTATGCCGCATTTGAGTACCTGGAAGATAGTTTTGCATTGGTATTGACTGCGCTCTTTGTGTCTGTTCCATGTACGGGGTCGGGACAGTCGAAAATGGCGAATGCTGAGAAGGAGCGTTCAAAATGGTGGTGAACGAGAAGTCAGGTGAAGCACCAGTTCCTTGGAAATGATTCGGAGGCAATAAAGTCGGCGGTGTGATTGAAGATAGTCGTGGCCTTGTGTCAAACATGGCATCGTGTGTTTGAGATACAGGCTGAGGAGAAGCTGTTAGAAGAGATGCTGGTATTGCCTCGCTAGCGAAGAACCCAGCCTTCTGCAGCAAGCATACAGCAACACTGAAATCTCTCCTGCTCTCAAACTGCGCGAGGAGCGCTTGTGGCTTCTTGGGTACAGATACACAGATTCGATTAGTTTCCTTATTGATGCTGATGGCCTCTGCAGAGGACGATGGTCCTCCTCTTATTTCACTGAGTCGAAGGGAAACCTAGCCTATTAGCCTCCCACTCGAGCCCAGCATCACCAGTCCATACCACTTGTTGTTTGCCTTTATGAATCAGAAGAACCAAAATTCCCATCTCTGATCCGATCGACCTTTCACCCTCGATCGTCAAAGTGAAGGCACTGTGTGGGTGGGAAGAGTTGTAGGCTTTGGCATTCGCTCCATCGCGGATCTCTAAGTAAACGAGTGGGCACGCGGACACAGGAGTCGGGGGACCAGCCATGATAGAACTCAAAAATGGACGACTGCATAGGTAGGTACTCTGCAGAGTAATGAGATAAGGTTCTGATCGAGTTTGGTTTGAAGTTCGCAGAGACTAAGTCTTATGCGCCTTGTGCTACCTAGGTAGGTATGCAATCGGTCTCTAACTTGAGGACTTGGTTTCTCCTTCCACTTCGAAGCACTCGATAAATATCTGAGGTAGGAGGCAGATACTACTTGCCCCGACAGGCCAGCCTCCTTCTTGCCTACTATGTAAGTAAAAATATATAAATCCACATCAAGAATATACCTAATGAATTCGACTTTGGCAGAGAATTTGAGGTTCAAGGGATGGATAGGTACCTACCTGTAAGTACCTACCGAAAAAGAGAACTTCCACCGTGCGCGGAGGCTGTGACCAAGGGTCACGTGGAGATAAGCTAGCGCAATCTTACCCCCAAGGACTTCGACGCGCCGCGCCAAAGCAAACTATCAGCGACTGACCCATGCGATTTGAGAATCGTGGATCAAGCTGCAAGCACCCACGGTATCTCTAAAACCAGCCAACTATCGATACAAAGGCCATTGAAGCCTTTCAGACGCTGGGTGGAAGCGCCTATCCGTGGGAATTTTTCGTGACCGCACGAGATTCAACACAGCTCGACGACAAGAGACCTCTCCCCCTTCTTCGCGACTGCGCATCTCGTATCCTGTTTCTATCCACCCGCGCACAATCAAGTTCATCGCCCGATCTCTCAATATGGCGCCCGTTCGCAATGAGGTGCCACCGCACACGATAGATCGCACGCCTGAATACGAGGACTTCATGTCGCGACTCCGTGATTATCACTCCAAGCGAGGAACGACACTCGATCCAGAGCCCAAGGTCGGCGCAACGCATGTTGACTTGTTCAAGGTCTTCAATCACGTCGTAGAGAGTGGTGGTTATGACAAGATCTCGGAGGAGAAGCTAGCATGGCGACGTATGGCGTCAGAGCTGGGCATTTATTCTAACAATGAAGCCTCCACTGCCTTCTCGTTGAAGGAGAAGTTCTATAAGAACTTGGCTGCGTTTGAGATCAGCACAGTACATGGAAAGGAGCCTCCACCAAAGGATATTCTGGAGGATGTGACGGCTAAAGGCGCTGGGTTGTTGTCGCGCACAAGGGAAAATTTCTGGGGAAAGAAAAGAGAGAGCAACGTTGGTGCCACAGACTCAGCGGCCTCGGGAGACGATGGTACACCCGTCCGCGAGCGACCCGTGCCAGACACTGCTGCCAGTGCGCGTGCTTCTAGAGGACTACGGGAGGCACCTCCTCAGCGTGTCATCTTTCAACCGGATACTGGACCTTCACGAACAACCCGACATTCTTCTGCTCACCATGCGAGCAGTACCAACTCACCAGCCGCGAACCCTCCTCAAACCCCCTCGCATCACCCAAACATGCACATACCTCAGCAGCACCAACAGCAGAATTACCAGGGAAACCGAGGTCCCTCGGTTCTTCACCACCCCACTAACACTGAGAATACATCCAACTTGGTCACTGCCTATCAGCCGCGATTTTCTAAACCCCTAACACTGCGCGCAGTGCCAACCCCAAGCAATGCGCCCACCGAGTTTCAGAAGCCACGCCAAATCCCACGCATTGACCTTCGTCAACCGATGCAACCTGGCAGTGAGTACTCATCCGTAATTTTGTGCTTTTCTTCCACTAACTAGCTGTATTAGCCGGTTTTGATGGCCCTAACATTTACATGAGGTGTCTGAATGCTTTGCGGTCAAATATTCCTGCTGAGCAAGCCTTTGCGCTCAGTCATCTGGTGAAAATATCGTTTGAGCGAGGTGATAAGTACAAGTTCGACTCCTTCCCAGGTCTGGCCGAAGGTCTAGTTGACAAAGCCCTTGAGGTGGGACATCTGTTCTACCACGTTAACTGGAGCGTATCTTGGAATCTTCCATATGACTCTAGTGACCCAAGTGCCCTCGATGGAAACTATGGGACAAAAGATATCCTGGAGCGTATCGAAAACCTCATTGAGAAGGATGTACCCGACATTCTGCAAACTGAGTCATTTGCGGACAATATGGTGCTGATCACTGAAGCTGTCCTGACGTTGCGAAACATGGTCACCTTACCTGAAAATGCTCACAACATATCAGACTTCCCTCCCATCAAGGATCTCATTTGCATCATTCTGAACCTACCGCAGAAGGATTCTCTTGTGGAACTGAAACATCTTGCCCTGGACATTGCTGAGCAGTTGACGCCGTTCATGACATTAGACTCAGACGACCCTATGTATAGGACATTGTTGGAGCAGTTGACGTCTGATGACCGTGGTATCATTCTGACCTCTCTTCGGGCGCTGGGGCGCATCTCCATGAATCTCGAGGCTACCAACAAGCTAAGCAATGTTCCTGGGCACGTGCTCCAGCGACTTTCCAATTGGCTTTTGCTGAATGATGATGAGCTTATCGACGCGTGTCTCGATTTCCTCTATCAGTACACTGCTGTTGTGCCCAACGTGGACACCTTAATGCGCTCTTTGACGCCAGAAAACCTCACTGACCATCTTGCACGCCTCCTGGCTCATGGTGCTCGTAAGACACAACGCGAGTTCGTTCTTGTACCCGAGCAAAGAATTCCCGCTCGTGACCAGATTGCTCCTATGCCCGAGGATCTTCTTCAGGAGATGCTCAAGCTTGAAGAGCCAGATCGTGTTCACCGTTGGGTTCGCTGCTTCTTCGAGGAGGACAATAACTCTTTTGTGACACAACTAGCCGCCTGGCAGGCCTACCAAAACGCATTTGTCGCACCACTCAAGGTCATCAATCAGCCTCTTATCACACCTGCCGACTTCATCCGGAACAGTACGTCTGTGTATAAGGATTCAAACGCGCAGGTCCTTAGAGAGCCTGGTGATCCG